AGGAAAGGAACAGGAAGGTGAAAGAGAAAGTGGAGGAAAAAAGAAAAATTTTTAAATTTTTATTGCCAGATCATTTTTTTTGCCATTCTGGATTTCCACGTAGGTTTAATATTTTAATAGATCATTATACTTCCGTTAGTTAACAGTACACGTCATGCGATTTTTAATGGAGGAACCAAGTCGGGGTTAAAATGGTAAACAATAGGGACCAAGTCAGGGATTTTTTGAGTTGAGGGACTCAATCGGGGGTCCGTACGATAGTTGAGGGACCAAAAAGGGGATTTAACCTTTTATTTTTTGTTTTTCATGTATAAAACAATTGATTATTGAAAAAAGAGGGGCAAAAAAAAGGCACAGTCGGCATACATGGGAATATGAAACAAAGGAGAGGCTGTGGTTTTATTGCCTTCTTTATCACATGGAGTATGGAATACTTTAGGGTCAAAGCCATTCATTTTTTTTTATTTTTTTATTTTTTAAAATAAAAAATGTATTTTGTACTCTTGACCATGTAAAATACTATTAATCCGGGGCTAACAGGGAATATCTCGAAAACGGGGTTACAATAATTCATTTAATTATTGATATTTTAATATTTGGTTTAAATTATATAATATAAATTATTTTATTTATACATATAAAAAATTATCAGATAATTTAAATTATATTAACTTATATAATTTTATCTAATATTTTTTTATTTTATATTTTAATACAATGTAAATTACAATACAAGATTTTCTTGTATGTGTATTAAATTTGGCTTTAATTTTTTTCGTTATTATATATACATATATGTATTTTTTTTTCACAAATGCCGGTGTCGGAGCTGAGCAAAGACTTAGAAGGCAACCGATATGATAATTGACAATCACGTGCTAAAATGTATGTAGCATTCCACTTGCAAAAAAGTAGTATGAATCTATTTGTTATAAGGAAGCAAATCAAAGCTAGTTGTTTGAAATGTCGGTAACAACTTTTCTTCGGCGTCGGTATTATTATTATTATCATTTTTTTTTTTTTATCGGCAAAATGTTTGTCCGTAATTCTAAATAGGAAGGTGAACCTAAACTAGAAGATTGAGGGCATATTTGGTGGCGCGTTTTAGAGTTATTATTTTTTTAATACTGTTTATAAATTATAAATTTAAATTTTTTTTAAAGAAAAAATTTAAAAATTATTTTTAAAAATAACAAAAAATGAGTTTAAAAAATTTATAAAAAGTAAAAATTTAAAATTTTTTTAAATTTATTATTTAAAATCTTTTAAAAGTTTAAAAAAATAAAAAAATATAAATTTAAAAAAAATTTAATTTATGAAATATAAATAATATTAAAAAACTGAAACGCTTATAAATTTTATCAAATATACTCTGAGAATGATATGGAAGACAACCCTTTCATTCACTATCTTCAAGGATAGTTTAGTTGCTTCTCGCAATCTCATTATTTCCGCTTCTCATTCTTACTACCATCAAAATGGTAGAATTCACCTCACAGCCAGGCTGAAACCAATTGTGGAGTGTTGGGTTGAGTCTCAAAAGGTTTTAAAAAAAGGTGCTCAAACATTAAGGCAATTGCGGCTTAATGTTGGATTGCCAGCTATATAGCAAAAACTATATCCCAGCCCTGACTTCCCTAGCACGGCATGAACTCTGCCGCTAGTCCTTGCGTAGTTCCCGCAAGAAGTAAAACAGAGATCATCTTCCCCAAGGGCCACGGCACTCGTGCCAACACAAACGATAATGGGCGTAACGCCTGCACTCCAGTCGCAAAAATGACAATTCTGAGCTAGGTTGGTCATCCAGCTTCAGATTAACAATAGGCAGCATGTTAACCTTCTTGTTGCAACACGAGGAGGCATGCTATTTATGCATGAAGGGTAGTATGCGTTATAAATCAATGTATTCAATTATGATTTGCAGCATCCCCTTTAATGGATGCCTTAGAGGAATTACAAGATTGAAGGAAACTCGTGCGGATTTCGGGGCCACTACGGATCAAAGAGGAATTGCTTCACTGTGATGCCGTAGGGAAAATTTCCCCGAGGATGTGGACATCTGTGTCTCATCTCTCGCACCCTAAAAATGGAGAGATTGAGAATGCAGAGTGCCATAACATAAAAGACTGCAGCTCTACTTAAAGAGGGATTAAATATTTGACAAATAGATAAAATACCATTAACCAAACAGCATCCCTTCAACAGAGTTTTAGAGACAAAGACGATTAAGCCATGGAGAAGTAATTGAAGAAGCTTTTTGGGGCATTCCCCAGTATTGTTCATAACAGGATCAACACAGGATTAAAAACTATATATGGCATATTCAGTTAGATCCATCATTCATGATACATAACCTTGAGAACTAAAAGTAGGTACCCTCAGGAGGCTGAACAAGCTTCCGGTTATGTGGAGCAGCCATCTCTTTTTTCAGCTGTGTCAGGATATCCTCCATGGTGTACTCCCTCTGCCAATTCGCAAGTGGTCCAAACTTCTTTGATTCCACCTGTTACAATTGGATGTCATTAGATCTTGTTACTTTGACCCAATTCCATTATCCACCCAAAAAATTGTAGACTAGCTTTGCTGGAATACTAATACAGTAAAACATAAAAACATGAGTCATGAGCTAGTCACTGCTATTAGTATCTTGGTTCCCTGTCCATGGAAAAGGGGAAAGCAACAGAAATTAAAAAATAGAACAAAATGAACTCTACCATCCTTCTGCAGAGCACTTAGTGTAGAATAAAGGCCAAGTAGTTAAATGTCAAAAGGAAAGAATAGATACTGACTTGTAAAATATTAACTGGCTCAGGACATGGAATTAAACTAAACTGACAACTGAACAAAAAAGTTAGATATTGAAATTTATAATTAGAATACCACTCCAGTTTCATGGTTAACACAAGTCATGTTGATCCTTGAATGAAAACGAACGCTTGGTGGCTTCTCAGGGTAATCTTTATCACAAAACAGCTTCAGCTGATAGATCCTACCCTCATGTACAGTCTGACAAGAGAAAAGATAAAATTAGCAATAGGTTAAAATGGGAATGGGGATTGTATTGAAGAAAATCCTCAAAATACCCAGAAAACACATCATTTTCTTTTAAACAAGGAGTACAGATTTTTCTTTGGCCTATGATATGAATTTTTAAAATAATGGAGACCATGATTTTTCTATGTCGTTTTTACATGTGTATCCATCCATGTATTAACCCAAAACCTAACAAATTGGCCAGGCTCCAAGCCTCTAAAGCATCTAAGAGAACTTTAATAATGAACATCAGCAAGTCCACAGTAGAAACAGACAAGGATGCTACAAAGAGGGAAGAATTTGAGTTACAATGATATTGTTGATATTGGTAACCCCTTATTAAAAAACCAGACAGCTTCTTTCGCTGCAAAAGGAGAAGCCAAAACTCAATACCTCAAAAAGCAGGCTAGCCTCAGATGCATGTCATTAAGAGCACAAGCATATAATGTTTCATCTAAAGAGCAATTTCCAAAATACATAATCTGTTAACTGAAATCAAGTAATTACATTGTGAGGACCAATAATGGTGCCAGTCCAAGAGCGCATGTAGATGTCATCTCCATCATCCATTCCATAGCTGACGCTACCATCTCCAATACCTTTTTCTCCACGTTCAAGCTCCTCCAGCAATCTGAAGTTCCTTGGAACTGTAAAAAAATAGTACTCAAGATTTACTTTACTAATAAAATAAAATGGAATAAACCCTATTGACTTATAATGCTAAACCAAAAAAAAAGTTAAATCTCCAAACAGAGACTACAAATCTTGCAAAAGTTTCCACGACACTATGACTTTCCCATGCAACAAGAGGGTAATACAAACATCATGTGCGCTCTCAATGGAACACAAAATTGTTGAAGATTAAAAAGTACAACCTTGATAATTCTGTAACTCAATATCTCTTCTAATTAGACAATCAATTATCATAATATTTGCAACAAAAGGCAAATAATGTCCTCATGCTTATAATAAACGCATAACAGAGCATTCATCAGAACAAAATAATGGAAGTACGCAGGGATTTATAAAAAAATAGTAATAACTCAATTTGGAAACAGAAATACAAGGAACCTGATTTTCCTAATTACAAATCAGACACAGCCAAAATCAAGCACATAAATTCTTCATAGTCACTACAAGAAACAACAAAAGAAGAAACCTTCAAAAACTAATGGGAACTCTCAAAAACCCTCAATCCAATTAAAGTAGTAAACAAAACCCATAAACTTTTCCACGCAAATAAACGATAAGAAAACAAAATCAGTGAAGGGCATCAGCAGATTCCATTAAAGATGAGCAGAAAAAACCACAAAATCAGAACCAAGGAGAAGAAAATTAACAAAGGGAAAACGAAACTCACCCACGACACTCGATCCTCCTGAGCCAAGCGTCATGGGTGATTCAGAAGAGCACTTGCTTCGACGGGATTGTAGAGATCTGATCGAGAAGAAGAGAGATATTTGGGAAGCAAGAGAGAGAGAGAGAGAAAGAACAGGATGAGTCAGAGAGGAGAATCAGACGAACAACAGGCGATGATAGGCAAAGGTAGGAATAAAGGGAGAAATTATTAAGGATAAATTTTAGACTTTATTAGGTTAAAGTTAAACCCGAAAAGAATAAAAAGAATGGGTAAATGGTGATGGATTGAAGGGATAGGATTTGCCGATTTGGGGAACTAAATTAGGCCCACAGCTTTTATCTGCCGGTGGAGAATGGTGGACTTTGCTCGTGCTTTAATTTCTGAGAGGCCCATTAGCTAGAATTTTCCTTCTTTTTCTTTTTTATTTGAAGGACAGGGAGTAAATTTTACCAATGTTAAAACTATTTCAATTTTAGATGATGTTTTTTTTTTCAATAAAAAAAACTCCCTCAATATTATTTTTTTATTTAAAAAGAATTAAAATTTTTCCATTCAAATTAATAAATCATTGACTTAAATTTAGATGATGTTAGTTTTTCTATAGAAAAATATTAATTAAATTAAGGGTATGAAATGTTTGAATTAATTGTTTAAATTAATATTATTAATACTTATTTTTATTTATAATTTAAATATTATTATTCATCTAATTAGTCCAAACCTTGACCTAAAACTTTCACACAAACACCCTTTTTTTAGGTGGAAATAGGAGAAATATTACAAATAGCCAAAAAGAAAATGGGGACACTCTGAATGCTAAAAAAAAAAAAAAATGCCAAAAACAAACATAGAACAGTTAATGTCTAGAGAATTCGACCCCAGTAGAGCCAGTCGCAAACATAAAAAGTCTCAGGTCTGGCAAGGTAATTAGGGTCACACAACTTTTTAAATATTGTATTTTAAAGCATTAATTCTATTTAGTTTAATTGTTAAAAATAATTAACAATTATAATTGTTAGTTAATAAATAAAAAATTAATATTTATTATTTATTAAATTAAAGTAATAATAATATTTAAATATTATAATTAATTATTAACTAAAAAAAATCAAAATTTATATAACCCTAACAATATAATATAATATGTAACCATAACTACACCCTAAGTCTATGCTACAAACATTAAACACATTTATTTGCCTCCTTGTAGATGTGATAAATCTAAACTTGAGGGATCTTAGAAAGGAGTTCCTTGCTAACAAAAAGAAGAGAGCACAATGGGAAAACTCCTTCTATTTTGGTTGGATAAAAGTCATTTTCAAATTAAACAAAGCTGTTATTTTTTTTTTTTTTTTTTTTCTTTCTTTTGGTACATAAACATTGCTGAGGTGAATCCTACCATTTATTTATTTATTTTATTAATTTCTTAATATCTAAAAGTCACATTAAATTCTAATTAATCTAAAATCGAGATGCGTCAGATGCTACAAAAGAGAAGTTCTCCTAGTGCTTATTTTTTCATTCATAAGATTTAAACTCGATATTTTATTTAAGAATAACTAAGTTCTTTTTACTCAAACTAACAGCTTGTTAGGTATTTATTTTTAGTTAGTAGGTACCAATTACACCAAATTTGTAATTTTAGTCAATAAATGACTCAAGTTATATTTGAAATTATTATAAAGTGCTGTGTAGCTATTGATTTTTCAATATTCTACTATAAGAAAAATTATATTATTATTTGATAATTATTTTGAAAAAATTATATACATTAATATAATCCCAAAATTATATAAGATATCAATTAAAATTAATTAATTAATTATAAATTAATACTTTTATAAGGTGCTGAAAAAAAAAAATCATAGAAAAACAACCCCAAATGCTACTTAGTGTAATTGCACTTCTGCCTTGCTTATTTTTGGTACAATGTCTTTTACTTTTTCACACGTCAAAGTAATAACAACTAACGTCAAATTTACAGGTTAAACATCCCTTGTTTGTGCGCATATTTAATTTAAGTGAAATAAAAAAAACAAAAGGGAAAATTTTCATTCAAAATAATTTAGACGTTAAGTTAAAATTTTAATATCATTGGATAAAAAATTTCCACTTTCCGTTTTTCTCAAACTACTAAATTAAGAATATATTTAATTAAAAAAATTAAAAAATATAAATATTTTTTAAACTAATTAAATTGTAATGTTATTAAAAAAAATGATATACACATATTACAAAGTTATACATTGATAATTTTTAATATTTGTGTGGTTAAAATTATCAATTTTTGATACTTATATCATTAAAATTGATGATTTTTATTATTTATATTGTTAAAATTGATAATTTTCATTACACAC